CCACTTGCTTCCCCCTCTCCCTGCCATGGGATGCCATGCATTTTAGAAAAGACCTATTTTCAGTAGTAGAAGCCACTGTCTATTTATTTCTAGTTTTCAGAACAAAGAGGTGTGGCTGCTTGCTGAGGCTTTATAGGATCCTTAGCAAACCCTGAATATTTCCTGATTTGTTTTGTAAGTACAACGTATTTCTACTTCTGGCTAAAATCAAACACATAGGAAGAACAAAAAGTCACAGCAAACAAACAAGACAAAACAGACCAGTAAGTAAAGCATAAACCCATTCAAAGTACATGTTCGGTACAGCCCATTTGGTCCTTTACATACGTCTGGACCCCTCTTCAAGTGAAAGCACAGAGGATAGTGAGACTGAAGAGGGTATCTCTTTTTGAAGGTATGAAATTCTACACGAACTGTAAGCCAAACAGTGGCTCTCAAGACAGTCTAAGACAGTAGTGAATAGAAAACAGGAATGCAAAGGAAAAATTGTATGGATTTTGTCCTATGTTTCTAACCATGAAGTTAGGGAGACAGCAGAATGTTTATATCATCAGCTGGAGATGGGCCATGTTAAAGCCCAAAAGGCAGAAATGAGAAAAACACAAGAAGAATAGAGGTGACTGATCTCAATTCATAGTTTTCACTTTTGATGTTCCTATAGATGTTTGGTTTTGAAGAGGAGGAAAGCCTATAAAACTGTAAGGAGAAGCTGTAATCCATCAAAGGGTACAACCAGGGTGTAAAACAGCCCCCAGGCTGCTCAGGCTTTAGAGCTGGCTGGACTTTGGGTGCATGGTTATGTTACAGGAAAAAAAAAAAAGTATATATCTATATAATTCAGCTTCAGGATTAAAATAACCAGTTGGAGAGAGAAAAAATAAGACATCGTCTTATAATAAGAGCCATCAGGACTCTGCTACGCAGCATGAGTATCAGTTTGGTTATGTAAAGCCAGGCAACAGCATTGAAAATACTGACTTCAGGAACTGTGAGGAAAGCTGGTGGTGCAGGTCAGGGCTTGCTTGAAACTTCCTTTATGGCCATCAGCTCTCTGCCTCTCAGTTCCATGGAATCCATTTGCGTTTCCACATTGTTTGAAGTGACTAGCTGGAAAGGAACTAGGAAGGAGGTTATTGTGAGTGTGGGCTGGGTTTGGTGTGTGGGTGGGTGGTTTTTGGGTTGTTTTTAAATGAAAGTGAAACGGAGCTGGAGTGTGGGAAATTCCTTCCCTCAGTAGTCACTTCACAAATGGGCCATTTTTCATCTCCTTGAGTGGGGGAAAAGACTGACAAAGAATTTTAAAGGAAAACACTGCAAAAAGTTATTAATTGAAGAAAGATCTTTGGCCTTCATTATTCCAACCAATGAAAGCAAAACTTATACATCATTATTTGAGATACTGTTTCCTAAAAAGGCTGTAACAAGTAAAACTCAACAGACACGAGATAAAGCAGGAGAATACTAAAGTATGGAAAAAACCAAACCCTGGATACTGCAACTCTGTTAACAGTCAACAATTTCAACACATGCATTTTTAATTTGCATTTCATTTAGGAACATAAGATTTACTATCATGATTTAACCATTCGCCAACTAAACCGAAGGGAATCCTAAATATTTCTTAAAGAACAACACACATACATGCTCTTGGATCTTCTTCTTCCCTGTATTCAGAGTATTCTTTGTATGAAAACATACATTAATTCCATACATACAGTGTTTACAGTAATATCACTGCAGTCTTACCAGCATTATGGCATCCAAGACTGTAAGAGTGATGAGAGATTCACACTACCTACTTCACAGTGCTCCTAGAGCCTGCTTGCCTCTGCAGTCAAGAAAAGAAGGAATCTGCAATAGCTGAGCTGGGCATCTCTAACCAACAGCCTGAATGTTGCTCAAAACATCACAGATTATCAGTACAGAAACATCTAACCTGATCTCCAGTGTAACGTAGGCCACTCTTGAACTAACTTGTGTTTTAACTACAGCATCTGCTGAGAAATCCAGTTTGTATCTAGAACCAGCAACTCTTGCACAATTACACTGGTAAACATGGATAGTCTGGATTTGTTCAGCCATGAAGGCCATGTTCACCAAAGAACCTTCTAAAAACTTCCATTCTCCATACAAGTGTTTGCTTTGTTAAGCCAAATAGGATTTTTCTGGAGTTCTTCCAAGACCTATTTTCAATCCCCCAATGTTTTTTTATGTTTCACCTCTAATCCCCTTTCTCATCTCTCAACTTGCTCCTTGAATTCTGAACACCAGAACAGAGTATAGTATTTGGGTACAACATAAAGAGATATTACCTATCTTTTCTGTCTTACTAGATACACCTTGCCTATGGATATCACTGCCCTTTTAGGCGAAGTGTCACATTAGGAGCTCGTCCCCCAGACTCCTTCACAGAGAAACTACTTCCCTGTAGTGCTCTCCATCAGCCATTCTTTGTTCATCTAAATATAGACAAAATCCATACACTTGGCAGCTCTGAAGCACAGTTTGCTAACACAGTGTTCAGCACTGCCAGCTTCTGAGAGGGAGGCAGGTACCTCCTGCACCTTTCTGAGCACAGGAATAAGTACTCCTGGGCCCTCCAGTGACCTGCTTTCTCTCTGAAATGTTAGCATTCAATGTTCTTCACATATTCAATATTAAAGTCATCTGCACCTACCTTGTTTTTTTAATAGATACTGCCATAATGGCTTTGTGTATTCCTTCAGTATAAAAAGGTTTAAAGAGAGTATACACAGAGATGCCCTGGCTGTCACAGGAGACTTCAGCCAAACTTTTTGGTCAACAGATCCCTCTCTTTTCAGGTCAGGTACACAAACCCTTTCAAAGTGTTTCCTCATGACTCACCTATGTATTGCCAAGGCATTCACTTAGCTGCTGTTCATTCAATCAAGACACATCAGATGATGTCCAATCTCTTGTGTTTGGATTCAACTCTTAGAGGACCCTCAAAACCATGGCTCAGATTGGCTTGGCTGGTATGTAACTTTTGTTTGGCTGATGGCTTATATTCTTCCAATCATTTCATGCTGTTCCCTGCCTTTCTGCTCAGAGAGGTTCAGGTGTACCTCACAGAGGTATTTCATCACAGCCAGCTGAGTCTTTCCCAGTCACTGACCAGGTGTGATGAAATATCTCCCTCCAAAATGGAGGTAAAGCAGGTTAAGGCAATTCTTTCATCACTAAACTCTTCCTATTTTTAAGCAACATGAACTATTGTAACCCTTCAGGTTTTCACTTATGATTCATATTATATTTTCCAGAAGTAATTCCTACTCTTCTTCAACAATTCAGTTTGTTTCAACTGTGGTCAGAGCTATTGCCTGCATTGTGATAAAAAATGCTTATTGCATGGTATATACAATTGTGTGTATCCCACACTGCAAGACTGAGGTCTAATATTTGACAAACTCCTGCTAATAAGCATAAGCACAGCACAGACAATATTCAGGGGAAAATAAAAAGAGCTGTAAGTTGATTAAAAAAGATTTCAAACCTGATCCTGAACTATCATGAGTCCTCTGGTCCCTGCCCAGACCTCCACTTGAGAAGAAATCTCTATCTAGTTCTTCCCTACCTTTTTTGTCTGGGAAAAAACAACCCTGCAATATGCCTGTTAAAAGAAAAGTGCATTTGCATACGTACTGCATTCAGTTCCTTACTAGATACGTCTGTTCTTGGCAAATTCTGGGCAAATAAATTTCCTCTTGTAAATGTAAAGACTCTGCCTCCTTGTGTAGAGTTTTGTTTGAAACCACCCAGGAGCAACTTGTATAAACCGCGCACAAGTAAGCACAATGGTCTCAACATCCTATAAGGAAAACTTTACTCTGCTAAGCTGAAGTTTTTCATGTTTTTGGCAGAAATATCATTTGAGAACTCCAATAAATGAACATTCAAGTCATAAGGCTTTTCTCAGCTCAAGATTTACATGGGCCTCCTTTGTATCAGCCACAGAAGTATTTTAAGAGTTCGGAAATTCTAGAAGCTTTCCTCCTGCCTTACTCAGCCACTCAAGCTTGATCCTCATTAAATCCCCTGACATGTAATATATTCCAGTGTACAAGAAGCCCTTCATTATTTCTCCATGCTTAGAAGGTAATAAACCCATTTCGAAGGATGGAAGTAGGAACTATTGCAGGTGTTTCCTTACCACTCCATGCTGAGCCAGGAAGGCCATGCTAACGTGGTTTGAATGAGTTAATGGTGTGCTCCAGTGATGACTTGAGAAAAAGCATTTTTACATTCCAGTTAGGAGGGTTTCTGCTCTAGCAGAAGGTTTAGGAAGGAATGTATCTGAAATGCAGGATGGGCTCTGGATTTCCATTTCTACAGATTCATTTCTAACTCAGTTACCAACTTCTGTCACTGTGGACTTAGCACATCTGCTGAGCTATGACTGAGCCCACACTTTCTTCCACAGCTTTTGCTCCTCCACTTGTGAATGGAGACAATGAACTCAAACAGCACCTTGTCAGCTAATTTTATTTAATAATTAAATAAAGAGGAAGAAAAAAGGGTAGGGAATGTGCCTTGAGGTCTCAGGTAAAAGCCATGCCCCAAAAGCTTTTCTCCTACCATAATTTAAACAGGAATTATCTTTATTTTCCAAGATTCAGAACAGATGTATATCAGACTCTGCTCAGTACTGGGAATATTTCTGAAACACATTTAGAGACTGTGCATGCAGAAGTACAGATATCTCTGACACCTTAAACTTCATTATTTTTTACTGCATTTTACAGTGAGTCATCAGTATTTTGCCTCAGAACCAAGTGGCCATGTTTGTGAGCATGTGTATTGCAATATTGGTAAACTAACATCTTTCCAGTAAGGCATCCAGGTTGCTTTAAAATGGGACTAGATTCTTGTTAATTATGCACCCTTCGACAAAGTAAATGTGTATTTGAACCCTTCCCTTCAGGCACTGAAGAGACTCCTTATGGATCCTTGTTCTTTTTTTGGTTGTGGCTCCCTCTTACCTGTGTAATTAGGAGGGCAGAGACAGACATAGTTGTTGATCCCATCCACACATGTAGAGTTATTCTCACAGTCATTATCCTCGCAGTCATCTGGGTTTATTTCACACCTCTCCCCCTCATACCCAAGGAGACAAGAACAGCTTTGGAGAAAGAAAGAAGATAATCTAAGTTAGCATGGCTCGGAAGAGGCAGGAGGTTTGAGGTATACAACTGAAATTAAAACATATAGGAGTGAGTTGCTGGAGCCAAATTCACTGCTGCTGTGCAGTACAGAGCACTTTAACCCAATGTGTTTTGTGAAGGATGCAGCCTGACGGTTCATGGGGTCATCTAATCATTTACAGGAGACAAAACCAGCAGCAGGATAAAGCCTCTGTCATGCTTCCCTTTGCTGACTCTGTTGATAACGCTAACTCAGAGTTGAAGTAAGCAACTCCAGGGCAGGAGAGCAAACATCACGGTGTTCAAATCCTTGCCTTTCTCTGTTAGTGATTTTGGGAGTGTGTGGATTCTTGCCTACCGAGGACTGCACAATCACATGGTAACTTGGCAGCTTTTAGATAGCTCACTCTCTTCAAAGAACAATGGCTCAAACAGAGTTTAAAGACATAACATTTTCTTCTCATTACCACTTTGTCACTTGTCCAAACAAGAAATGGTTGGGAATGATTGCTTTTACAAGTGCAAATAAGGTTTCAGTACTTCTGCAGCTCCTCTAACATCGATTTGCAGAAGAGCTGATGATGTCTAGATAATTCAACTGAAACACAAACAAACAATGGCTCTGTGAGGATGTGGACACTATTGAAGAGTAATGACACCAAATATTTTCTCTCACAAGTCTGTGACGTATGGTCCCTAGAGGGAGTGTAAGAAACTAAGTGGTTGAAGGATGACGGTTTTTTTTTAATCTCCATTTCATCTCTAGATCTAAAAGTTCTGGTTGCTAAGAGAACCTTTATATTTTAAACTAGCTGTAAGTGATGAAGAGGTGGAGGCCACAGTTTCCTAAAAGGGAGTCTAAAAACACGTGTTAAGTGTTCCAGTCATTTCAGTGGCTTCTAAGAAGCCAGCAATGACATTTGAAGTTTGGGTTTGCCAGCACTGCTGTTTGCTAGTCATAGAAAGGGCGTGTGTGGAAGGGAAGGGTTGTTTTGAGTCTCAGTCCAAACTACACATTCACTCAGCTTTTCATTTCCTTTCCCATGCAAGTTCTGGTGGCAGAAAAGGAACTGAGCAAATGTAAAGCACTACTGATTGATGAGGATGAAAATCAGAAAGCACCAGCGCAGTCTCACTAACTGCCAATCACTGCTTTCTGAAACCAGGAGCATTTCCCATGCAGAGATAGATGCAGGGTACTTTTTGTTCAGCTCAGATGGACAAAGTGGACATGGGGTGGTTATCCCACTTTCTGTAGGTGTTATGGGGTTAGGAATGCCCTGGATAAATAGAAGATCTTCAGAATCTGTGAATGCTCTCAGCATGACATTTGCTTCTCTTCCTCCTATGTGCCACAGACTGAGCAGAGTGCAGGGACTCCCAAGGGAGGGGTGGACAGAGCTCTGCATTATCCTTCAGTAGGTCCTAGGTTGGACCCTGAGGATAAGGTTTGATTCTTTATGACATGTACAACCTCAGAAGCTAAGGGAAGAGGAGGAAAAAAAGGCACAGAATGTGTTTTGAGCCACCACAACAGTAAGATCTTGTACATGGATACAGAACAGGCATATAGGTCACATGCTAACAGTCATCTTCATTCAGTTCTGCAGGGACCATTCCCAGGCCGTGAGAGTTAGAAAACCTTCACCATGAATAACCAAAACCAAACTGCTCAAATAAATCCAATTTAGAACACAATAAATCAATAAGGAATATTTTCTTTTCCTGTCTCAAGCTCATTATTGCTAATAAAATATGTCCTCTTGCTGACCCTGCAATGATCCAGAGGATCACAGGAGGCAGATAAGGAAGAAGAGCTGGTACACCATCTTCTGTGGCAATGCAACTGTTAGGGAGGGGGTTAAAGACATCTAATTAAATACAGTGACACATTCATCATGTCTCCCTTTTCGATTACAAAACCCCATTTTCAAGGGTTTATAACTCAGGCATAAAAATATGCTCCAGGCTGTAACTTGGCATCCAAGGTCTCAGTTTGGGAACACAAATTCTTCTCTCCATTTTAAGAAAAGCAACAAGAGTGGCTTTGTGCTGGTTATTTTTATGTGAATATAACACCATTTTCCTTCCACAAAAGGACTGGGACAGCTTGGATGTATGCAATTAAAAATGACATTATTAAATACTGTCATAGTAATTGTTCAACTCAGTACAGTTACCATTAGTAACAATACATATGGGATTGTTAACATACAATTGCTCAGTATTAGGGCACATTCCACACTGAAGGAAATGTCAGCATAATTGATGACATTTGGCTACTGGTCCCTATGTATTACAGGGAGTCTTTATATGCTTACATATGATTCTTTATTTTGATTTGCATTCAAATGTGCCAAATCTAAGGACTGAAATTAAAGATTAAACTTACAACTTGGGACCCGCATTGAAGCAGATGTTGAAAGAGTTGCAGTTTGGGACTGTTTGTGTTTTCCCAGAAAAAAACCAAGAAGAAAAATGAAGTTTGCAGAGTGAGTGGAAGGTCATCAACCCCGGTTCCAGCTGACCCAGGGGGAAAATGAATTCCAGAGACAACGATGAAAACTTTATCCTGACTAAATAGTGAAGCAGTGTGAGACAGCATTTCATGTGGACCTCAGGAACAATGGAGCCATGCAGGGAAGAGTTATTTTCTAAGGCACTAAGATTGCATAGAAGCCCAAATTCCCTATTCCTCTAGTTTAGGAAATTTCTGTTAGTGTTGTGTTTTCCTACAAATAAATAAACTAAAACTGAAAAAAACCCCATTATCCTCATGAAAGCACAAGGGAACACAGAACTTCAGGGCGACATTTTAGGGGTAAACTTTTAGAGCTGAAGCATACTGACAGTGTTGTTAGTTTACTATATTAACTTTTTTCCCCCATAAAATCTAATGAAACAGTTTAGCATCGGTTTATTAAAATAGGCATGTATCACCTTTCAAAAAAATCAACTTTAAATAAAGATAGTAAATTCTTCCAGGAATATTACAGTTACTTGGTAAAGGAGCTTTGGACATCAACATCCCAATCGAGTAGCCTCTAAGTCTGGAAATACAATGTTTTTCCTTGAACAAGGCTGAATTAACACCAGGGAGTTAATCAGTTCCAGGATTTTACATTTATGAGAGAACCTAGAGTTTGTGGCATATGCTAAAGAAAATTCTCTGGAAAAGGGAGGAGATTTTATATAGAGAAAAGTTTAAAAAATCCAGAGACTTGGTTTCCCAACACCGCAGGTTATCAAAGATCAGCTGTTTACCTGTGGCTAACTGAAGCAGAGCTGACAGCTCTGCCTCCCTTGTCAAAAACTCACTTACAGGCATGCTAAATTACTGTCTGATTGTCCATCTTTTTTAATCAGTCTCAATAAGCACCATTTTTGGCAACCTCTTCTCAAAGAAAACATAGATCAGATTAGATTAGAAAGAGCAGTTCAAAGGGCGGAAGAACCGAGCCACACAGTGGCATTTGACTGTTCTTTAGTGCAGCAGTCATCCCACCCGAGAAAAAAGAATGTGAGAATTAGTCAGAACTGGGAAAGCACAAGAATAGAAGACGCCGAGAAGGACTCCAGAACTCAAGCTGAACCTTCGCCCTTCAGCTGCCCCACCAGGACCTGCTATTACACCAGATCTGAGTGTCCCACTCCCCTGCTGCTGCCAGCCCTGGTGGGTACCAAGCACAGTGGGTGAGCCAGCTGGAATCCTGGTCACCACTATGTATTTCCTGTCTTTGCCTGGGGAACATCACCACCTTAGCATTATTGAAAAGGTGATTTTCTTGTCTAAGGCTACAGAAACTTGAGAGTTAAACTGCTTGGCACTTCATAGGGAGAGAGTTTTGGCTTAAGTTTCCTTTTTACAAGAGTAAAGATTTGACAAGTTTGGCAGCAGAGCTTGTATATGAATATATTTCCCTAGGGAAGAGAATATACAGAAGATATAATTTCTTTTACAGGCCACACAACAGAAAAATCCAAGGAGGCCTCTCATGAAAATGTTTTTGACATCCACTTCCTCACAGCATATAATCTAAGGCAACGTTTTCCCATCGTGATGAACACAATCTATATGCACGTAACTCCGACTGCTGCCATCCACTGGAGAGGACGTTTCCCACCAAAAAACCCCAACCTAATTACAAAGTTTTTCTTTATCTTCCCTGTCACTGACTGTTCCATCCCCACACCACATAACTCTATGACATGCTAAAGCTCCACATTCCTCTTCTCCAGAGCAGCTGGGGCTATGGACTGACTGAATTAAAAACATGGACAGAAAACAGAGCAATGCATAAGCTGAACATTTGATTTTACGAAGCAAGATTTTGATGAGATATGGTTTTATGTGTCTTTTATTAGACCAACTGAAACTATATAAATAACTATAAAAGCAGAAACCTCCCCTAAAAAGCCTCAAATGTTGTTAAGCAACAAAACCACCCCTGCAGGTTTATAAAGATCTCAAAAACTACATGCATTTGGAACTGAAGCAAAGCCTCTGAAACTGTAAAATTCTTCATGAGAAAAATTCAGAAGTAGCTTTCATTTCAGGTCATTCCGAACTTTTTACTTTCTACCACAGAACAGAACAAAAATGCTGAAGAAAAACCTGATTCAAACTCCAAGATGAAGCCTTTATTCTAGTATTATGGATGTTATAAAATGTTTTACAAGCATATTTTTAGTATCAGCTAGATTTCGGAGAAATGAGTACCGAGTGACAGAAAACAGATATTCTATTATGGTACAATTCGGCTTTGGCAAAAGCTGGAAAAAGATATCCAAACACTATTGCAGGAAAACCCAGACTGAAGACCACCAGACTTTTATTTTTCTCAAGCAGAAACCAAACCTGAACTTTTACTCCCGAAATTGCTGGGCCTGCTAAAATCTGAATCAAGAAGAGCTATATCCGATCAGAGTAGTGGTTTCACCAAAACCTAGAGGGTCTGTGAAACAGTGTGACCATTTGCATGTGCTGTGGTCTGCAGAGCCTCCTTAAACTCTTCCACCACCATGCACTGGTATGACCCTACAGACTTCTACCCAGGAGATGTGCTCTTCTGCTCTGCTCAGCGCCTTGTCATGGGTGCTCAAGCTGAGCTCTCAACTGCCCCTCATGGAGACGTGGTCATGGGTTTTATTCCTGCCCTCCCATGCTGGAAAGCCTTGGGTTGTTATTTGTAACAGAGCCTGACAGCGTCCCTTCATCCCTATCAACCTGCACTTGTCCATTGTAGTATCATCAGTGTCTTGTGTTCAGCACATGCTGGATCTGTTTCTGTAAGAAGGGAATTCTCCAGGAAGGGCAGGCCCAGAGACAGAGAGAAGCTTTGGGGCAGTTGCTTCCCCGTTTGTTCCATGCACAGGGCGATATGGAAGTTCTTTAATGCCTCATTCCCACATGAGGGATCTGGGGAGTCAAAAAGAAGCCAGGGTGCTTTCCTGGAAATCTAAAAGGCATCCTACCATTAGTAAGGAAACAGGCAGGGGGTGCTTACCCCCCTGCACCTAACGTCCTGTCACTCACTTAAGATTTCACCTGGCCCTTTCTATTTTGAACCAATCCTGTTTTTTGACTGATGATATGGGTTTGCTGACTTGATTAACAAACAGTTAACCTCACTTGGAACAGTCTTAATCACAGCTGAAAACAAACTGGAATAAAAATGCACTGGTTTGACTCCCTGCTTTCACCATTTATAAACCTTGCATTTCCACATCTCCTTCCAGCTGCTATGGATAGGCAGCTACACACAGGAGAAGACAAAACAGCAGCCATAGTAATGTATAGAAGCTTATAGAAGTGAGGCTTTTGTATGTGTCATTGAAAGAAGAGCATGGTGTACTTTTGTACATATTTTGTGCAAGAGAGCATAAATACTGAGGACTAAATCTATGAAAATTTCAGCAACTCTCTTCTAAAAATAAAAATTCTATCAACTTTAATGACAAAGAGTAGCCAAAGCCCCAAACTTGTATTTTCTCAGCTGTAAAGTAGTGCCTGTAGCAGCACAAATCTTTCAGTTGCTTCATGAAAATTTCTGGATTTTTCTTGGAGTATCCCCACCTATCCTATATCATTCTTTTATGGGAAAACTGCAGTCTGTCTTGTCCAGCTGCAAAGGTTATTCTCTGGCAGGCACAGTGCTGAAGATGGGGTGATCTCTCCATGTTTTCTAATTGTTTCTCTCAAGTCTGTTTGTCTACAAGATTCTTCAGTACAAAAATATTTTGCATCTGGTTGTTGAGCAACAGATGCTTACTTTACAAATACAAAAAAAGGGCATATGTGAGTTTGAAATGCCCCAAGGAAAATTAGCACAGAGATAACACAATGCAGAGCAGGGGGACTGCTCAAAATAGCTCTTAAAAGTACGTTCTGTGAGAAAATAAGGATGCCTGTTTAAGAGGTAATGATATGTCACATCAATAAAACCGTATTAATTACTTTGTGTGGCAAATAGAAGTGTCACATGCAGCAGCTTCTATAAAGTGGCCATTACAGTTCATTAATACAAAGTAGAAACACATTTAATATCTCATTTTAAATGAATGTTGTGTTACTACCTGAATCCATCTTTATTTGCCTCGGTGAGGTGGCAGGTCCCTCCATTCTGACATGGATTTTGGATACAAGAATTAATGGGCACGCTGCAGTCACGACCCTATTTGGGAAAATTCAGAAGAAACAAGGTTAGTAAGACACGTAATCTGAATCAATGTCTCTTGCTCCTTCACCTTATGCATGGCACCATTTACAGGAGGTCTGTGGTCTCAAGCCCACTGCATCACCTAACATTCTCTACTGATGGTCAGATATATTCACTACCTAAGTGAGAAATTGGGCAACGGATCTGGTGGGTATCTTGGTATCAGTTCAGCTTCAAGATTTTAGTTAACTCTTTCATTTGCTTGTTTTAAGGAAACAGCTGGTTTTGTCATAACTTTAACACACTATCATCTCTAATGTTAGTTATAATGAAAAGAATTAATCATGACCACAGGTAAGCAGAAGGCCACACAGGCAGCACAGGACTACGTAGTCAGCACGCACTCCACCGCATTTACCCAGTGCTCACTTAAACACTGCAACAGTACACCGTGCTCGTTGCTATGTGCTGTCAAAACCTAAAGGGGAAAAGTCATGTTTATCATGGGAGCTGAGTTTGAATTTCTGTACAGAACACACCGAATCCCGTTTCAGATATTATCATTGCACCAGTTCCCTTCTTAAAGATTGCCCTGAAATAAACATCCGTTCCAAGTGCACTTCACTGTTACCAACTGACTGTTTATTGGCTCTTCAAGGCATTGGCAAATTTCTCTGGTCATTATATTCTGCTGATTACAACAGGCTATTTGTAAAGCTGGCAAATCCAAGAGTTTGGTCTTGCTTTTCAGTTACTCACACAGTAGGGTAGAATAAAGACACCTGAAAGCCTCAGGACTCAAGGGATCTGTGCAATCACAAAAAGCTCAAGAGATCGCTCTACTCTTCCTACTGAAGGTCCCGTTAGCAGTGGCCCTCTGCCAGCTCATCTACTGGAAAGCTGATACATGACTGCAATCAAGATGAGGAAAATATCTCAGGAGATACGTTAATTCAGTCAGGGTTGCTGGGGCTTGTGCCTTGTTATTGCTGTTATTTACATTGTACTTTAGAGGAATAACAATGGTAAATCTAGTTCTAAGTTTCTAAAGAAGGAGGGCAGGTGCCTGCCTGTGACACTGGTTCCTAGCAGCTGAAGCTTATGTGTATGAGTACTGACCACCACCCACCACTGCCAACTCATCTGGCTGACAACACTCATCAGAAGTCATTCCTTTCTCCACCAAATTTGCAACAGCCTCCAACCCTTTTTAGTCTCCACATACCTAGTGTGATGTACTGGAAATGGGGGACGCTCAGATGACCGCGTTGACAAAATGAAGCACCTTGATGCTTTGACCATGTACTGTGTGTGAGAGCATCAGCTGTTGTTGTTTTTCCACCTAGTTTCGGACTTTGTTGTTCTCACAAGATACACTATTACATTAGATTTAAGAACAGACTTTGAGAAGCCTAACACTGTACTTGGCAGATACCTGACCATGACTGATACCTGACTTGCCTCAGGTTGAATGCAGTTGTGTTAGAAGAGGCATATGAAAAGACTATTGGAATGTTCAAGGAGAGGGAGCAACTACTTTGGAAGAAGATACTATAAAGACTAGGACTCTTCTGTCTAGAGAAAAGAAAACTGATGGGGGTGATATGACTGAGGTTCACAAAATCATGGAGGTGGTGAATGCAGGATTTCTCACACACTGAATCTCTCATGAGCAGAGGGACACTTACTGATGTTAGAAGATTAGCATAATGCAGATAAAAGAAAATACTCTTCCGAAGCATGAGCTCCTGGGATGCTTTTGCCACAGGAAGTTGTGAAGTCAGATAATATAAAAGCCATTAGACAAATTCACATACAATGGTTCTAAACCAGATATGAAGGCAAGAGGCAGACATCAGCTTCCCCAGTTGAATGATTGTGGGTGCTTGGAGGACTGGAGAGGAGTGGTGGCCAGGCTTGTGTACTCTCCCCAAACAGTAAAGGTTTGCTGCTGCCCCATGAAAGACAGAATGATGCAGTAAATGCACTAGAAACCTATTATGGCATTTCTCATGTTCTTATGTTAAAGTTACTTGAAAGACTTGTTTGGTTCTCAACAAGGAAAATGTTCCCTACCTTTTCTTTTCAAAAGAACCAAAGTGCTCCCTGAACCAAGACTACGGGGCTTTGTGCATTATGAGGGAATGATCACACCAGGATGGGTTTGATCGGTTTGTCTATGGCTGCATATCAGTTTGGGAAATCTCACTCTTGAGCAAGGAATAAATAGGCTGGTCACATCTTTCTAACCCTTGCTCATCACTGCCCTCCCTCTTACATCCTACAGTGATCAGAAGTTCATGCTCAGCTCTTGATCAGTGTGCCCATTTCCAGCAATGTGCCCATCGTGGAGGTGACAAGCCAGCAGGACAAGGATTGTGCTGGTTCTTTGGCAGCTCAAGCTCCATTCATGCTTGAAGTACAGTATAAATAATAGGAGAAATCTGAATTTGTCTCTGAAGGGTTTATCTTGACATTGGTGCCACCTCCATGAAGGCTAACGAAGGCATTAAAAAACCCAAATCAGCTTGTAAGTGTGAACTTTTCCACAGAGTTCATTTGACCTGGTCTGTCCACTCATGGTGCTAGGCTCTCCATTTCATGTAATGCAGTTCAGTCCTCCAGATGCTCCTGAGACCTTCAGTATTTTGTCAGGTAGGACATATTGCCATCAGACTGCAGGAAGAATTGAGACATACGGGAATTATACTTTTGCCCAACACCACAGAGGAGCTTTGCTACACAAACGGAAGACAAAGATGTATGTCTTGAGGCTCTGCCCCCAGCATTCACAAGAGAGGAGAAGCAGCTTTGCGTTGTAAATTTGTGCAAATAGAAGGAAAGAGGGACATTTTCACTCGTTTGAATGAGAAGAGAAACATTTCCAAGGAACAACAGAAAGTCCCGGCCAGCCCCCTGCCTCACTATGAGTTCATTCCCCAACACAGCACTGCAGACAGCATGCTAAGCCCTCACCCAAGACCTGGCAGAGAAGGCTTCTGCTTCATCACACCACGCCTGCCAAGCAGCCTGTCCTTCTCCATTTGAAATCCCGAGCCCCCAAATGGCTCAGAGAAGAATTGGGAAAGCGCCGAGGGAAGCTCCTGCAGGTTTTATTTTGGCACCATGTGGTCCGCAGCCCGTCACGGATGTGAGCCATGCAGCATTAGCACTAATCCGCTGCCACCCTTCTGCAGCACTGCCTGTGTTTTGTCCATCTGTGTTGCGAATCCTGTGTTTACCATGTTATCCCACAGGAGCTGGAAGATGCCATTTTGATATTTCTAAGATCACAAATACTTTTCCTGTGTCCCTGAAGAACTGACTATTTTATAGATACGTCACTAGCATCAGTTACTTCTTTTACGTATGAACTCTTCATCCCTCTATCACTATATTAAATCCTTTGCAGCTAAGCATAGCAAGAAGCAAAACAAAATCTGTTTTTCTGAAGTGTTTTGTGAGTCGAACACACGCAAAACTGTCCCATCACTGCTACTGTAATTATTCAGATTATTTGGAATGTTCAATAAAGATAAACGTGAAAATGAGAGCAAGGCATTTTCAGTCTCTCTCATTGGCACATGAAATTCCTCACGACTTAGATTTAGCTCATTTCTGTACTGATCATGGCTGAATTATTGGTTTCTTGGGCCTCAGGCACCATGGAAACCGATTAGGATGTGCTGCTGAATCCGATTTAATTACAACACTAAGTTGCTATGTGGCTTTAGGAAAATTAAGAGTCTCTCTGACTCAGTTTACTCATTGTAATAAATGGGCAAACAACATTTAATCCTTCTCTGAGGATTATCTTCTCCAAGCTGACTTTATCAATAGCACATTGAGAGGCCATAAAACAAGTACCATTTCTCTTAACACAGAAGACTATGACAAAACAAAGAATTCTGGAAGGAGAGAAGTTGCAGCAAATATTGGTACTAATAAATCTACAGCAAAGCAAGGGCATTTTATTTCTGCATAAGACTGTCACTACCCAGAAGAGCCTAAAGACATTCTAGAAACATCTTTCAAATGAATAATGGACTTCTCTAGTCTCAATTTGCAGTAAGACTGTTCTTCCTGGAAAAATGGAATTGCTGTCAAGCATCACTAAAATTAATTTATCTGTGAGTTGGGAAAACCCCTTTGAATTACATTCCCTAGAAATAACTACTGTTACAAAGGAGAATATTGTCTATTTGCTTCAAGATTAAAGAGTCTTTTAATGAGGTCTGAATCAGAAAATGAGGTGCAGTCTTTGTTTCAAGAACAGGCAAGAAGATATGACTGTCTCAGCAACTCACAGGAAGAGGATGAAGGTCCCTCTGTGTGCAATATTTTATTTCTAGAGCTTTTTTAAGCTGCAATAGTTTTTTGTCTAGTCTGATAGGAAAGCATCAGATCTAAACACTTTGATGCAATTTCTCTCCTTTTCTGTAGGAGAGGAAAGGATTAGGTGTTGAAACATAACATTTCTGCAGCTAATCAGAAGACATGTTCAGAATCCAGCTGCCTTTTAAAATCAGAAATATCTCAGCTGGTCCAGACTTTATCTGGGCTGCTCCAGTTCCACGTTTTGGTGAATGAAAACAGAAACTATTCCTCCTACTTAGAAAGAGTCAGCTCTTCATGTCATACTCAGCAGCAATTAACTGTACCGGGTATAAGAGCATATACAAGCTGTTCCTCAGTATTGCTTTGCCAAATCCTGGCCTTTATAAGTAGCCAGGACTGGAAAACATTACAGCATGATTAGTAAAACACCTGAGAACAAGTAGCAAAACCTAATAAGGACCTTAGCAGGAAGACCAAAGGATAATGTGATGAAAAACACTTGTTTGCTTTGACGCTGTTCCCATCACTGCAATGATACTTTAAAATGAATTGTCACGAATTGGTATTGTCTATGGAAAGTGAAATCTTCACTCAAGATCATGTGGCAGAGATTTGACCTCTGTCCATTTTAATGTGATCCTTCACCCGTTTCTAACAGCAGTGGGCCCAGATAAGAG